GAGGAGGAGGGAGGAAATAATCTTCATCTGGAAGCAGGGAGGGAACTCTAAACAAAACACTTGTCTCAAAACAGTATGGCAACGCACCCACTCTGACATTGTAATAATGTCCTTCTCAGTCATACCGTCTTCTAGGGCACTCAACCCCAGCACATACCCAAAGGGGGATCAAAAGAGAAGACGGTGAAGAGAGAAACTCCTGGGGATAAGCTTCACTGTAGAAGTGTGACAGGGGAGAAGAGAGAGGCCAACATAGCCATGACTCGTTAGTAAAAATCATAATCACGGTCTAACCATTCTAGACATATTTGTTCCTATGTGGATGTACTTTTTCTACCATTGTTTGGCAGAACAGTTGGCTGGGTGTCCAGGGCCACTCTGTCCCCATCTCTAATGAATGAAAATAGCCATGAGGTCAGGGTGCAGCCAGTTAGGCTCTGGCACTCGCTCACCAAATCCCTCAGCTATTTGATTAAGAGGTATGGGATCCGAGTCAGTGGGCACAGGTCGCTGTGACTTTCCTCCGTCCCAGAGGCTAGGATGCCTTTATTTTCCCAGAAAGTAAATGAATAGCAAAAAATGAAGGGGGAAAAAAGCCTTTTTGCACATCAACTTTTGTAGCACTCTCTCCTGGGTGACCACAAGACACCTAGGCTACACAAGACCCCAGAGCTCTCACCAAGAACCACATCTAAAAGGGGCTGATGGCCAAGTCACGCTGGCAGGGACCCTGATCCAGTCCAGTTCCCTGGGAAACCGAACTCCACATGGTAACTGACTTGTCAAGGTCACCATGGGACCGAGGGACAGAGCCGGGGCACTGGGATGTTTGGTCTCTCTCTTAGACACTTCCCAGCAGTCCTTTCTGTCGGTTTTTGGAGGGAGGGTGGTGTGTGTGTTTGTGTGCGCGTGCATCTCCAGATGCACAAGCAGAACCTCCCTTCCAGCCTACCCACTGCAGCTTACATCTGCCCCTCTGTCTCCTTGCAACTTGAAGAGAAGTCAGAGATGTTCTGTCTTCATAACTGATGAGCAATGTACCGTCAAGACCCCATCTTGACCCTGGGAGTGCTGGGCGCACTTTCAGGTCACCCGCCATCAACTGAGCATCGCTACAAATCCCAGCAAGCTGCCTGCCACTTGCTTCATGAACTGTTGTCCTTTCAGTCAGCTCCAACTCCCGGCAGCCCCATCTGTCACAGTAGAACTATGGGCCGTAGGATTTTTAACATGTGTGACAGAACTAGGGCTGTAAGATTTTCAGTGACTGAATTTTTGTTTTTTCCCTCAGAAGTCGATCACAAGGTCCTTTTCTCAGAAGCCCCTCTGGGTGGACTTAAATGACAACCTTTCAGTTAGCCTAAACGCGTCACGTGTTTTCATCACCCAAAGACTTCCTTTTGACCTTGGATGAAACCAGTGTGACGGTTCCTGGCCTGGTCCCTTGCGTGATTGTACTTGTCCTTCCTGAGTGCTGCCAAGTTGATCCCAACTCACAGAGACGCTGGAGGACAGAGTAAACTCGCGCCATCGGGTTTTCTAGGCTGTGAACTTGACTGGAGTCTATCACTGGATGTTTTTCTCAGGAGGAGCTGCTGGGTAGGTTTGACCTACCAATCTTTTGGTCATCAGCCAAAAGCATAAACCACTGGCTTGCAGCCAAGAGTGTAAAGCATTTGGTTAGCAACCAAGAGTGTATGTAAGACACCTGAATTCTCTCCCCTTGTTCCATGACTACTAGCCAATGCTATAAAGTCAACAACAAGAAGTCCGTTAAGAAGTCTGTCAAAGTCAGTGGTATGGATGCACTTGAAGAGCTCCGTCATTTCATGCCTGTCTCCTCCAGAACAAAAGATCCTAATAGCTGCCTCAAAAACAAGGACAGGTGAGCAGCTGGAACAGCACAAGCAAGAAATACCCTTTGATGGCGAAGGCTATCGGTACCTTGCTTTATCAAACCTAAGCTGCCCTGGACGCAGGGCCGTACCTTTTCTCTGTACTGGTTGGAACATGCCCTGCCACTTAAACCAGCGCATGGTGTCCAGATTTCAGAGATGATGAGATACAAAAGCCCACATATCTTAGAACCGATGAAACCCCAGTACAAGAGCTCCCCAAAGTTATTTTAACTCATGACCTGTCCATATGTTCCTTCTTCTGGGGATGTTCACACCTGTCTGTCGAGGGAGGACCTATAGACATGTGGGCGAGTCTTGACTCAAAGGTCACCTCTTCTAAAATCCACGTCCACTCCCAGAATGTCCATCCTGCTGGGTCCAGTATAACCGTGACCACGTGGACCCCCACTCATGATGACCCAAGATGTATCTGAGAAGAACTGTGCGCCATGCATGTTCTCAGGGGCTGGTTTTGCGGAAGCGGATGCCAAGCGTTCATCCAGGGCATCTCTGGGTAGACTCAAATCCAACCCTTTGGTAGCAGCCAAGCATATTCAGTTATCCTCCGCCCCCCTGGGGCGGGCCCTGTATCTGCTAGTAGAGCGAATCCATTCCTCCTGTTGGGAGTCCCATCCCTCCCTGAAGCCCACTGGCCTCTGCACCTAGAACAGTTCAGGACGCTGAGCACCTTCCAGGCCTCTCTCCCTCCCTCTTCAGCTGGAGCTTGGTCAAGACAATGTCCTTGTGGGCGGCATCTCCTTGCCAGCACCCACTCCAGGGCCCAGCACACAGCGCACAATGGTCTGCCCACCGAAGCTCGGCGTGAGCGCGTGAGAATGAAATGTTCGCTGCGGCTCCATTCAAAATAGCCAAAAGGTGGAAGCAAACGAAATGTCCATCAACGGATGAATGGATGAACAAAATGAGGCCCATTCACACAATGGAATATTACTCAGCGGCAAGGAGACCAGAAGGCCTGGGACACACTATGACATGGATGAACATAGGAAAACCACGTGCTGGGTGGAACCGGCAGGCACAGAAAGACCAATGGTCCGATTCCATGAAATATGCCAAACGGGCACATGTGTGATCAAAGCTTGTTAGTCATTTCCAGAGGTGGCAAGGGAAAGGGGGCGTTCTTGCTGAGGGGGGGTCCTGAGCATCGCTGAAGGATGACAGAGGTTTGGAAGCGGAGAGTGACGATGGCTGAACAGCTCAATGAAGGCACTGAGGTCAATGGAATGCATGGGTAAAAGTTGCTGAAGTGTGTGCGTGCGCATATGTGAATCACAATATTAGAAAGGCATACGTGAACAGTAACTACTGGCATGTGGTTGCCACAGACACCTACCTCCTTGTCTTCTTTATGGAAACCCAGTGCCATGTTTCAAAGGAAAAATGTTTAAAAGTCCAACTAAGCCGATTTCAATGTTCTTCATCATTCTAGTGACTACATCCTAACAAGGTGAACAAGAGCAGTCCTTACCAATCCATCTTCTGGGCTAGACGTTCGCCCCGGCCAAGGCTGCCTCTGAAACCCTCTAGCACGGATCCCACATTCCCATGAGTCCTTTGCCCTCTCATGAACACGAATCCTTCCCTCCCCAGGGCCGCCATCTGATGAACCCCTTTTCCCAAAGTCCCTGCTGACGCTGACCCCGTCTCCCACAAAGGAGTGGTCACTTCCGTTACAGGAGTGGGAAAAAAAGATATGTTGAAGTCTTAACCCCTGATATGGATGAACATGGTCCTTTCTGAAAATGGAATTTCCTTTCCTTGTGCCAGTGAGGTGGGCCCTAACCCTAATCCCTTCCAAGTGGTGTCTTAGACAGGCATGGACAGACACAGACACACAGGAGGGTGACACACAAAATGTGATCCCAGGGGAAGATCCACCTACAATCCAGGATGGCCAAGAAAGTCTGGCACCTCCCGAAGCCACTCAGAGTGATGGACGGACACAGTGGCTGCAACGTGGGCGTGAACAGGGCAACGATGACGACGGTAACCGTGGGGCAGGACTGTTGTCAACAG